TGAAGTACAAATGTGGCTAGCACAGTGGTGTAGCACATAAAAATGCCACCTGCAAGGCCAGCATTCCATATGGGTGCCAGTTCAAGTTCCAGATACTCTACTTCTGATCCAGCTCCCTGCTAATGGCCTGGGAAAATCAGGAGAAGATGGCCCAAGAACTTTGGCATCTGCTACCCATGTGGGACACCTGCAAGAAGCTCCTAGCTCCTGGTTTCAGCTTGGCCTGGCGCTGACCATTGTGGTCATCTGGGAAGTGTACCAGTGAATAGAAGATCTCTTTCTCTCTCTCCCTCACTGTCTAATTATGCCTCTCAGATAAAATACACACATCTTTAAAAATTCAAATGTACAACAGACACATGAAAAGATGTTCAGGATCACTAGCCTTCAGGAAAATGAAAATAAAGACCACAATGAGATTTCACCTCACCCCAGTTAGAATTCTTATCATCCAAAAATTTAAAAATACCAAATGCTGATGAATATATGGGGGAAAAGGTACCCTAATAGGCTGTTGGTGGGAATGTAAACTAGTATAACTATTGTGAAAGACAGTATGGAGATTACTCAGAAATCTTAAAATAGATTTATGTATGAGCCAGTCATTCCACCCCTGGGAATTTACACAAGAATATAAGATCAGCACATGAAGAGGTGATCTGTACCCCCACATCTATAAAAGCTCAACTCCCAATAGCTGATGATATAAAATCAACCCAGATGTCATCAACTGATGACTGGATAAAGAAATTGTGATATAATTTCAGTTCACAATTGATCATAATGAAAGGACTAAGAGTCAAAGGGAGCACATAAACAAGTCTAGTACCTGCTAACACTAACCGATGGAATAAATAAAGGGGAGAGTGATCCAACATGGGAAGCCAGATACTCAGCAGACTCATAGAATGGCAGATGTCCTAAATAGCACTCTGGCCTCAGAATCAGCCCTAAAGGCATTCGGATCTGGCTGAAAAGCCCATGAGAGTATTTCAGGCATGGAAAGCCAAGACACTCTGGCAAAAGATCTCTGTGAGTGAGATCCCAGTGGAAAGAACAGGTCTTCAAAGAAGGAGGTACCTTTCTCTGAAGGGAGGAGAGAACCTCCACTTTGACTATGACCTTGTCTAAACAAGATAAGAGTCGGAGAACTCAGAGGGCTTCCATAGCCTTGGAAACTCATGACTGGAGCATAGGGAGATTACTGATGCCATAGACAGGAGTGTCAATTGGTAAAGTCAACAACAGGAGTCACTGTGCACTTACTCCTCATGTAGGATCTCTGTCCTTAATGTGCTGTGCATTGAGATTTAATGCTATAACGAGTACTCAAACAATATATTTCACTTTGTGTTTCTATGGGGGTGCAAACTGTTGAAATCTTTACTTAATGCATACTAAACTGATCTTCTGTAAAAAAAAAAAAAGAAATTATCAATTCCCAACTTGACTCTCACTGGGATTAAACATGACAATAGGTCTGATCTGATTTCATCATCATTTAAAAAAAATCATCTATTATTTTTCACTTTATGTTTCTGTGTGGGAGCAAACTGTTGAAATCCTTACTTAATGTATACTAAGCTGATCTTCTGTATATTAAGATAATCGAAAATGAATCTTGATGTTAATGGAAGGGGAGAGGGAGTGGGAAAGGGGAGGGTTGCGGGTGGGAGGGACGGTATGGGGGGGAAGCCATTGTAATCCATAAGTCGTACTTTGGAAATTTATATTCATTAAATAAAAGTTAAAAAAAAAAGAAAAAAAAAGAAATTGTGATATATATACACAATGGAATACTACTCAGCCATAAAAAGAAAGAAATTCTCTCTTTCATAACAAAATGGTTACAGCTGGATATCGTTTATACTTAGTGAAATAAGACAATCCCCAAAAATATATATCATTTATTTCCACTGCTAAGTAATCTTGTCACAATGAGAAAAATTAACACTTAGAAAATGAACTTTGCATAATATTAGGCAGGCAATAATGCTGAATTTATTTAAATTAGTATCTCCCCATCAATCAGATATTACTATAACCATTTAATAGTTTTATAAAGTCTTAAAAAAAGCAGTAAAATATGGTATCAGATCTTAAGAAATAATAAGGGGGTGTGGCGCTATGGCATAATGGGTTAAGCCGCCGCCTGCAGTGCCAGCTTCCCATATGAGCACTGGTTCGAATCTCAGCTGCTCCACTTCTGATCCAGGTCTCAGCTCTGGCCTGGGAAAGCCGTGGAAGATGGCCCAAGTGCTTGGGCCCCTGAACCCATGTGGGAGAACTGGAAGAAGCTCCTGGCTCCTGGCTCCGATCGGCACAGTTCCAGCAGTTGCAGCCAATTGGGGAGTGAACCAGAGGATGGAAGACCTACCTCTCTCTCCCTCTCTCTCTGCCTCTGCCTCTCTGTAACTATGCCTTTCAAATAAAATAAATGAATCATAAAAAAGAAATAGTAGCGGGGCCAGCGCTGTGCTTGTAGTGGGTTAGGCCTCTACCTGCATACCATATGGGTACCCGTTCAAGTTTCAGCTGCTTTTCTTCCAATCCAGCTCCCTGCTAATATGACTGGGACAGCAGCAGAGGATAGGCCAAGTTCTTGGACCCCTGAACACACATGGGATACCCAGAAGAATCTCCTGGCTTCTGGCTTCTGTCTATGTTCTGGCCCAACCCCTGGCCATACTGCTATTTGAGGAGTGAACTGGTGGATGGAAGCTCGCGCTCTCGCTCTCTCTCTCTCTCTCTCTCTCTTACTGTGCCTTCCAAATAAATAAAAATAAACCTTTAGAAAAAAGAAATTTTAAGTTATAATTAATCATTAAAATACCTATTATTTTCATCATTTTTAAAATGTATTTATTTATTTTGAAAATCAGTTACAGAAAGAGAGGTAGAGACAGAGAAAGACAGAGACAGAGAGGGAAAGAAGGAGAGAGGGAAAGAAGGAGAGAGAAGAGATCAATCTTCTACCTGCTGGTTCACTCCCCAGATGGCTGCAACAGGCATCTCTGAGCCAGGCCAAAGCCAGGACCCAGGAGCTTCATCCAGGGCTCCCATGTGGGTGGCAGGGGCCCAAACACTTGGGCTATTTGTTGCTGCCTTTTACAGGCCTTTTTTGAGGCCATCAGCAGAGAGCTGGATTAGAAGTGGAGCAGCCAGGGCTGGAACTATCACTCATATTATACATTGGTGGTAGCTTTGCCCATGATGCTACAACACCAGCACCTATTTTCATCATTTTATTTTTTTTTATTTGACAGGCAGTTACAGGTAGTGAGAGAGAGAAACAGAGAGAAAGGTCTTCCCTCCATTGGTTCACTCCCCAAATGGACACTACGGCCAGTGCTGCACCGATCTGAAGCCAGGAGCCAGTCTCCCATGTGAGTGCAGGAGCCCAAACACTTGGGCCATCATCCACTGCCCTCCCTGGCCACAGCAGAGAGCTGGACTGGAAGAGGAGCAACCAGGACTAGAACCCAGCGCCCAAATGGGAAGCCAGCACTGCAGGTGGAGGATTAACCAAGTGAGCCATGGCACAGGCCCCCTATTTTCATCATTTTAAACTACATGATCAATGTTAATTCAAACACATATGAAGTGCACAGTAATATATTTCAGTAAATATTCATTCTCTTCTACTTCTCTAAGTCCCAGAACACCATCAATTCTTTCACCTGCAAGCATTTTCTTAAGGAACATCCTATTTGGAGAAATACAGAAACAATGTAGCTAATAAACAAGATAGAATCAAAGAAATAATATAGAAATAACATCAATACTAATTATATAATTATACTAATATATATTTCATGTGATGCACCTGTTCTAATAAATCATCACTGTCTCTCCATTCCAACCAAAGGTCAAAGCACATGTTGCTTTAAGGCTTTGGTATCTTCATAGATGCAGTCTTGAGCCTAACAAGGGAGATGAGGCCCTTGACCAAGAATTGCCAGTGGCCCATCAGAACATTCTCAAGCCAGATCAAATAACCATGATGACAGAAAAGGAAAAATCACAGATCTCAGGCAAATGATCCCTGTGTTTTGACAGTGCAATGCTTCATTAGCTGATCATAAGTTTAATCTTAATGAAAGGCATGAGAATTTTTTTTAAGTGATTCTGTGGACTGGTGTTGTGGTGTAGCAGATAAAGCCACCTCTTGTGACACCTGCATCCCATATGGGCAACAGTTTGAGTCCTAGCTGCACCACTTCTGATCCAGCTTCCTGCTATTGCACTTGAGGAAGCAGCAAAAGATCGCCCAAGTCCTTGGCCCCTGCACCCACAAGGGAGAACAAGATAAAACTCCTGGCTCCTGGCTTCAGGTTGGTCCAGCCCTGGCCATTGTGGCCATCCGGGGAGTGCACTAGTGGATGGAATCTATCTTCCTCTTTCACCGTCTCTATAATTCTGCCTTTCAAATAAATAAATATTTAAATCATTCTTAAGTCATTCTTTAGAAACAGTTGAAAAGTTACAGTGATTTCAAGATTCAACTTCCTTCAAAACTTAATAAAGGCAAAGTTTAACAGGTTAAAAAGAGAAAGAATGGATCATTACATTTGCTTTCAATAGACCTATTCAGTATTTCTTTAGAACCAAATAACTCATTGGAAAGGGCACACTCTCCTTTTATACACTGATTCACCTAATCATGTAATCAGTTTAGTGTCCCAAAAAAAGGATATAAATACTGTTTAATTTACTAGTCAAGTTGGCTTATGGAAATTACTACTTAGCATGATTGCCTCTGGATAAAGAACAAACACATAGGGGGAAAATCTATTTAATAAGGTCGTTTCACCCTTTTCGGGGGGAGGCTATCAGAAACATGTCTAGACTAGTAAATGACGCATCTAAGTGAAGATTCTAAGAAGTATTATGATCATCATGCTTGAATAATTTTCCATAATTCCCTGAGGTCTTTCAGTAACAGATCCTCATAGGCTCTATGAAACTTATTAAGTATTAGCATGTTAAATGTCACTTACCTGTTTTAAGTGTTTCTGTATTTTAGACTCCACATCTTCAATGTGTGAAATAATTTTGTTGACACATGGGGCTGGGATGTTAACTAAAGAACAGCTGTGACGTCGACATGGGTATCCAAAGTAAATGCCTTTATTTACCCCTAAAGGTACAGCATACAGAATGTGGAGTTAGTGCTTATACATACAGAATAGTCAACCTTGATGTTCAGGGTATGCACAGTATTTTTGGTTTCATAGGTGCTAATGCTTTTGAAGTTTCTTTAATAGATGGGCTGATAAATATGTCAAAAAATTATAGACTGAACCTTCAAAAATATCTGAACGTTAATAAACAACCATCTATTGTGACTTAATACTCAAAATGTAATAAATAAAAATGAACCTGAGAACACAAAATGAAACATCAAAGTTAAAAAAATGGTTTAGTGTTCTATGCCATCATCAACAAAGAGACAACAGTTAATCCATTTGTTTTTAAACAGACCTTGAATCACTTTAAAAATTACATCCACATCTTTCAAACTAAATAATATCCAACTCCTCATGTATTGGAAAAGTTCATCCTTAAATCCAGCCTGAGTTTCTCTAGCTGAAAAAATAAATAAATAAAAGACGGTCTCCTTCATCCTCATAATAACCTCATTTTCTATCTTCCATTTCTGAAAATTGGAGTCTCATGAGAAGAGTGATTGATGTTCCCACTATAGCATTCAAGCTGTACTCATCATAAAATCCACTCAGTCCGATGTGCCTCAGTGATTCTAATCCTGGCATGTCCCAATTCGACGGAAGGTTGCAGAAGCACAGCAAAGTTGTCCATGAAACTCCACCAAAGTGCTTACTTGCAGTCTTTCTGACTCTAAGGTCTCTATCGGGCTGGATTATAGTTGCAATCACTGATCTTAAATGGGAGACAAACACGCTCACTGCCTCCACGAGAACAGTATGATGTCCTCATTTCAGTTGACCTTGGAAAAAAGTCATCTATTTTGTTTCAATGTCAACCCATAGAGATAGCAAGTATTTTAGATGCCTTCATCTGAATGACAGTCTTAAATGTATCCTTATAATAAACTTCTCAAAACACACAATTTCTGCGAGAATCGCTTATCTGTCTCATTTAGAAATAAAAATGCTCATTCTATCTCACGTACTTGAATGTGTGTGTGTGTGTGTATATATATATATATATGAGTAACTAATATTTTTGACTTTAAAAATGTGTGTAAGACATGGGGCTAATCTAAGTACTTTTGATGCAACATTTAATCCTAACAACAATCTTATGAAATATATTATGTTGATTTCATAGATGAAGCGATCAAAGATTAGGAAAATTACATAATCTGTCCAAGTTCACAGAGATAGTAGGTGGGACAGCTGCAACTTCAACCACATCACCTTGGTTATCAAGTGTAAGCTACACTGTGAAGGCTGATTTTGTATTCTAAAAATATGACAACACAAAGAGAAACAGTCCTGAGAAAAGATTACAGTGCTTTTCAAAAGGTTCATCTATCCCTTGGTTTTGAATTTTAGATGTTTCTTTATAGTATTAATGCTGATAACCTAGTGTATTTTAGTTTGCTTTGACCATGCTCTGAGCACATATACTATACTTGCTATGAATAATTTTTTGTGTTATATGTCCCCTCTCCTCCTTAGCTCACACACAGATATACATTTTTATCTCTGTAAATGTCAAAAGTTCAAAAAACAAGCTGCCAAGAATCATATATTGATCTCCTCCTACCCAAATATCTTGATAGGAGTGTGATGGCCTTTCCTTTAGAAATAAAGAAGTTTTAACAGGCATTTCACTATCAGGCAGTTGCTTTTATACTGAAAACATTTGTTTTGCTTCATTAAATGCAGAGAAAACATGAATAGAAAGGGTAAATTTCCTATTTTTCTTGACTGCACCACTCATAACCATTTTGTAAATATCAATCAATTTCTCAAAGCATGCCTATGATTTAGGATTAAGGTTTTATATGTGATAAAATCAGGGAAATGAAATACTATGAAATTAAATTTTCACTGAAGCATATAAGATATATATGACATCATGAACAGATTAAGATACAACCAGAATTTAGGAGTTCTTATTACAGATTTTATTCCAGCCAACGTGCAGTATAAGTTACAGTTTTCCATTTGTTTTTAATTTTATCTAGTTTATGACATGACATGAAGGAGCTTCACAAAGTTCATGGAAAACACCTTTTATTATAAAAGCATGCAATGGATTTCAAATTTTTTATATTAAAATAAACATCTTTTAATCAATTTTCATGATCTTTTCAAAGTACTCTTGTATAATCAAAATTTCATTTACACTAGTACACTTTTTTTTCTCTTGATTCATAACTACCTGTGTATCATCAGTTAAAAGTCCTGGGGCCGGCTCTATGGCATAGCGGGTAAAGAGCTGCCTGCAGTGCCGGCATCCTATATGGGTGCCAGTTCGAGTCTTTGCTGCTCCACTTCCTATGCAGCTCTCTGCTATGGCCTGGGAAAGCAGTAGAAGATGGCTCAAGTCCTTGGGCCCTGCACCCACGTAGGAAGACCCGGAGGAAGCACCTGGCTCCTGGATTCAGATCGGCACAGCTCAAGCTATTGCGGCCAATTGGGGAGTGAACCAGCGGATGGAAGACCTCCCTCCCTCCCTCCCTCCCTCCCTCTCTCTCTCTGTCTCTCCTTCTCTCTCTGTGTAAGTCTTTCAAATAAATAAATCTTTAAAAAAAAACTCTTCAGTCTTTAGACCTCAGATTTTTTTGCTTAATAAATGAATAGATTAGTTGGGTATTATTTAAGATCTTTTTCACCTAAAAATTCATGGTATAGGGACCAGTGTTGTGGCATAGCAGGTTATGCTGCCAACTGCATCCCATATGGATTACAGTTCACCTTCTGGCTGCTCAATTTTTAATCCAGCTTCCTGCTAATGTGCTTGGGAAGACAGCACATGATGATCTGGGCACTTGGGCCCCTACCATCCATGTGGGAGATCCACATGGAGTTTTAGACTCTTGGTTCCAACCTAACCCAGCCCCAGCCACTGTGGCCATTTGGAAAGTGAGCCAGAGGATGGAAGACTCTTTCTCTCCCTCTCCCTCTCCCTCTCTTTTGTCCTGCCTTTCAAATAAATAAAATAAATCTTCAAAAAATTTTATAAAATAATCAGTGATTTTAGTCAAACATAAATTGAGTTCCTGATTGAAAAGCCTGCACACAAATGGTAAGTGTGAGTATTTAAATGATTCTTAGGCAGGATTTTCATTCTCTCTAAACACACTCCCAACTACAACATCCTGGCTCAGAACTAATCCATAAAAGACTTGACTCTCTTAGCTCTGAGCTAGGTTGAGGTTTGCTGAGTCTGTGCAATGAGAAATGTCCACTGGTGGATTAATATGGACCGGCTGATTGTGAGAGAAAACAAAAGAAATACTGTGCTAATAAACTGTGAACTATTCCTGTTCAATGAATTTAAAATTTACATAATATTTCACCCTATCCCAATAATCTGACGTTGTATCACCACAGTTTTAACTTTCCTTCTGTTTTCAATATGTGCTTTCCTTAAATCTGTAACTCCAATTATTACTCTACTAAATAAAGAGTCCAACCAGTAAAAAGTAAAATATAGTTCAGTGAGACTGCAAGGAAAAGGCTATAAACAGTTATAAATGAAAAAATGTGCATTTTACTAATACAGTAAATTTTTTTAAAGATTTATTTATTTTTTGAAAGGCAGAGTTACAGAGAGACAGATCTTCCATCTTTTGGTTCACTTCCATATGAGAGTAATGGCTGGAGTTGTGCAGATCCAAAGCTAGACATTTCTTCCAGGTCTCCCACGCAGGTGCAATGGCCCAAGGACTTGGGCTGCCTTCCACTGCTTTTCCAGGCCATAGCAGAGAGCTGGATTGGAAGAAGAGCAACAGGGACTCAAGCCAGCTCCCACATGGGATGCTGGTACTGCAGGTGGTGGCTTTACCCTCTGTGCCACAGCACCAGCCCCTAATACAATAAATTTTTAAATAATCATAGATCATTAAATCTATACTGACATATTATTCTTAACCATCAGTTTGACAATATCAAGCTTCAACTCTTCACTCCAGCTTCCCACTAATATTGACCTTAGAAGGCAGCAATGGTTGGTCAAGTGACTGGGTTCTTGCCACCCAAGTGGGAGACATGGATTAAGTCTCCAGTTTTGGTCCCAAACTGGTGTGGCCATTGAGGGTATTTGGTAAGAGAGTCAGCAAATGGGAGATCTCAGTCTCTCTACTCTGTTTCTGTCTCTCACTTTCCCACAGTGTATGTGTGTATGTCTGTGTATGTGTGTATGTGTGTATGTGTGTTTCAAATAAAAAAAAAAACTGATCACACTGTTATTTTGTTGTATTAGCTTTAAATGTTCTTACCTATCTTCAGGCCATCCTTTACTTTTTTACTATGCTGTAATCTGGTTTGTGTTCTCTCCCCAATATGGACACTTCATTCTTAAGTCCCTTCAAACAATATTTCCACTACCATTCATGAATGATTAACTGAATACAGAACCCATCCTCCAGTTATAAACAATTTTAAATCTAGAAAAAGAATTACGACAACCATTTTCAGACACTGGGAAATGGGCAGTGCAATCTTTGACGCCAGAGAACAGAGATGTGTGAGGCTGAGTGCAACAATCTCTGAACTATCTCACAAGGGGGCAGCTGTCTAGCTGTGACAGAGATGTGGGAGCAGAGTACATCATGGCAACCCTGATGAGTTGTGGTGTAAATGAGTTTTATGGCCAGTGTAAGTACCTGGCATTGTCAGGGCAGGGAACTGAAGAAGACAGAATGAGGCAGAGAAACACCCCAAAACCCATGTAGGAGTGCCCTCTGAAATACAGCTTATAAAATCTCTGACAAATGACTTATAGTCCAGAATACACAGAAAAAAATGTACATTTTATTATTTAGAAGGTGGCTATAAGATTTAGACTCTTTTTAAAAGATAATATAGGGGCCGATGCTGTGGTGGAGTAGGTTAAAGCTCCGGCCTGTAGGGCCGGCATCCCATTCGGGTGCCAGTTCGAGTCCAGGCTGCTGCACTTCTGATCCAGCTCCCTGCTGATGCA